CTGTAACTTTGAATTAATGATAGAACTGAACAGAGATGCCAGAGCAATTTATTTAAGGAGTCAGTGCAGTTTTTTTTATTATAAAGTAACTGCTGAAGTGTGGCATGTTGTATTTTTTTTTCTTTTGTAACTATATAAAAAGGCATATTTACCACTTCACACTGAATTCTTAAAGTGAATAAAGAAGCAAGTCTTCAGATGTTTAAAATTTAACATGATGTTCATTACTGTTGAATATTTGGAAATAACTCTGCTTATTGAATTAAGCTGTGTCAAGTATATGGCTTTCTTGAAGGCAAAAGACATGGTTGTGCTTACTTAGCATGAGAACCTCAGAGTTTAAATAGCTTCTATTCATTTCATAATCTGTATCTATGGATAGAGTTGATCACTGTTTTATGGTAGTGGTGACTAAAATTTCATTGGTATATTATGGCAGATGTGCTACAATTTTTTTCCTTGCTCTGCAGCCCAGCATCCTGGGAGTTCATAAAACTGTTCATTCAACATTCAGCCTTTGTCCAGTTTAGATAAATGCCCTAGCTGGGGTCTGTCTCAAAACTTATGCTCTTTTTTTTTTTCTTCTCTTTTTTTGTAAGCTCAACCTTTTGTAAGTTGAACCTTTGCAGGTTTCATACTGAAAATTTGCTTACTTTTTTTGTTTGTTTGTTCCTTTTATAAATGTAACATAACCACTGTGCTATGGAAGTGCCTTCAGGTCCTGAGCTGAAAGCAATCCTGGCCCTTGTAACTTCAAACTCATTTTAGATAGATATTATTGTATGTCTCAAAAATGGTCTGGAACAACAAAAAAAAAATAATAATAATAAATAAAAAGGAAGAAGAATGATAAGTGAAGAGAAACAAAACGCAGAAACACAGTTTGGTCCAAGACTTTTGAGGTATTTTTGTTGCTCAATACCTGGCGTTATGCTTCTTGATAGCTCTAGAAAAAGTGTAGCTAGACTAGGAGGATTTCACAAGGAATGTTGTTACACTTTGAGTCCCAGTGGGATTATGGAGTTGACTCAATTCTGATAAATGTCAGTGTAGAGCACCAGAGAATTAATTCAGGTGAGCTAATCATGACCTAATATGAAGACTGCTAATTAATAGCTAATAAGACTGGTAAAACATGGTTATAAAATGCAGTAGACTACATCATTGGGATTGTTTAGAAATGAAAATTTCAAATGGTACTTTGGAAAGGAATCAAAGACATCTTTTGCCATCTTAGGCCAAAAAAAAGATAACCTCCTCTATTAAAGGATATGTGCCATATATGTCACTGAGAAAAGTGGTCATCTTAAATACAGTTGTGATACAGAATAAGAATTGTTCATGAATTTGAGGTTAGAGCATGAGTTAGACTGATAAAAATAACTGCTTTTAATTCATACTTTAAATAAGGGCTGCTGTTATAAATTTTATGGAGAGACCTTTCTGGTTACCCTTTTTTCTGACATAATTTCTTCTGCTCACATGGTGGTAAGCCTGATAATGGGGTTCTCCAGAGCCTGTTCTCCTGGATTGTTCTGTTTGGAGTAAAACTGGAGTAAATACAAAACTATACCAAAAGAAAACAAGTGAAAACCATTTATTACAAAATATTCTTAAGTTCCTTTTTTATGGCTTCTTGTTGTTGTTTTCTTTTTCAATATATATCTCAACTACTTTCCCTCTGTTTAATCAGCTAGTGCTAACCTCTGAGGCTAGCTAGTCTATGACAGCTCGGCACATAAGGACTTCAGTCCTGTCATTAGCAGCCTTCAGTCCTGTTAATTACAAAAGAAAATAGCTTTGACTAAATTGTACTCTCCTGAATCAGACACTTTGTCCCACAAAACCTTAAAGGACTAAGTCAAACACAGCATTTGACTCTCAGCTGAATGTTGGTTTGCTTTTATTGGTTTGCATAGTCAGTGAGGTACAAAGACCTACAGTCATCCTCTGAAGGTAAAGCTGAAATGTTTTTGAGGCAAATGGTGCAAGCTAAGATTTACTCATGATGGATATTTTTTTCTGAAACAAGAGTTTCTTTCTAGATTTTTTGTTTGTTTGTTTCTGTTGTTACTCGAAGGGAGGGGAAGAGAAAAATGCTGTTTTAGAAAAAGGCAATGTTTGATAAGGTGAGGCTTAGACTTTTTGAAATTTTACATTTCCCAGCCAGGATTCCTTATTCTCTGTTAGTCATTTCTGGTTTTGTGGTGGCTACAAGCAAAATACTTACAGAGAGTGTTTTGAAATGGGACATAGTGCAACCTGGCAGAGGTTGCACCCAGTGCAACCAGGAACACTGTCAGAGTACATGAGAGACTCGATAGAGGTTCTCATTGCTTTTCCTTGTAAAAGTTTAGGTAGAATTTGATCTACCTTTTGTCATGGAAGTGGTTTTAATTTGGATGAGAGCAAAAACTGTGCAGAAGCACTTGATTTAGAGAAGGTGTATTTTTCAGCTAACTCTGCTCCTAGTTCCTCTTGAAGTGCTCGGGAGAAATGATTACTCGAAAGCACTGCAGTCTGTAGTTAATGTAGAGAAAAAATGACAAAGACACTTTTGGATTTATGCATGGCATTTCGGTAAGATGAACAATCTTAACAGCTTTTTCATCAGAGCGGACGTGTCATATCCAGTTGGCTTTCCATGGCAGCTTGCTGTTGTTCTTAATTGCCAACCTGCTGGGCTGCATCCAGGGCTCACATCCAGGGGCACCACGGTAATGCCTAGCGCGACTTTAGTTTGTTTAAAACTGGAATAAACTAAAGGAAAATAACAAATTGAAAATGATTAGCTGTAGTTTTTTAGGCACAGTGTAACCAGTAAATAGGTCATTGGCAAAGGTAAACTGACAGCAATTTTAGTTTTACAAACATGTTTTTTTGTCTGTACATTGAGGTGTTCAGCCTTACAATGAAGGAACAAATCTAATTTTCTGTTTAGTTTTTGCTGGTTTTGAACTACCCTGACCTGGGCATATAAAACAGAGCACTGAAGTATTTGCATGTGTTCAAGTTGCTTTCTGTGTCCTCAATAAAACGTGGTACAGAAGGGACTGCCCTCCCTCGCCCTGAGTGTGGTAACATCACTTTGAGTGACATTATTTTTGGAACATATCCTTTTATAACAGCCATAATAATAGCAGAGGGCAGTGAATTTGAAATGCAATAGCTGCACATAAACTAAGTCGCAACAACCATGCTTAACAGCTTCTGCTGAAGCAGCTTTTGATTTTCAGAGGAAATGGTAGCCAGGTACCCTGCCTCTCTTTCGAAATCTTAGGATGGAGCCAGAACACAGGAACTCTGTAAGTTTTCCTTTGGGGAGTTTGTAGACTCCCCAGTATTTGTTTAACATCATGTGGTAAAAGCTGCCCCAGTATGCCTTGCCTAATACTTGTAACTCAGTTTGAGCCATAAGCTAATTTGCTAATGAACTCTCATGCTCATCATAAAGTATAGTAGCCATGGAGGAGAGGAGCTATGTGTTTCATTTGTTAAAAAACACAGGAGTCTCAGCTTTAATTTCAAAACTCAATTGAGCCTCAGCTATTGAAACACCTGTCTTCATAGCTGCTGCTTGAAACTACAAGAATTGGGCGAGATGGAAAGCTCTATTTTGGGGTATTGTTGTTCTTTTCCTCAGAGTATTCTTAAATTGTTCTTTCTGTAGTGCAGTTGAAGTTTCATTGCACATTTTATAAGAATTTCTGCAGTAAATATTTCTAAGCATTCTACAATTAAAAAAAAAGCAAACAAGTTGAGATAAATATCACAACATTGCATTTTCTATGTTATTTGCAGCAATATTACTTTACAAATGATAGTTGGGATTTTAAATCAATTTCATATATATTTTGTACATCCAAGATATGACTTGAAAATCCCTGAGCATTTGGTTTCCGTGTTCTGGAGAGAGGATTTCTAATAAGAGAAGAAAAGAACAGAAGTGGTTGGCATCAGTAATGACTGAAATACAAATCTTTGGAACAAATGTGGGTACCTTGTTGAATCAGTCATCTAATGTATTAGCAATCCTGTGTTCTTTTTAGCACAGGAATAAAAGAAGGAAAGAAAGGAAGAAAATGAACATCATTCATAGTGGATTGGAGCATATCACAGTGGCAAAACAGACTAATCCTACTTTACTTATTCATCAGATTTTTAATGCAGTAAATCACCAGGAGAATAAGAACCGCGTTGAATACATTTCCTTGTGACAAGTGATTAGCAAACTTCAAAAACTTTGTATAGGTAGAAAAATGCACGACATTCTCACATGCTAAATTGAACAAGCTAGTTACAGTACTCTGACAGCCCACAAAAGCTCTTAATGTTTATCGTGTTCTGAAACTGAAGGTGACCAATTTAGGGCCTTTGATTAAAAACATAGATTTTTTGCAACAGAAGACCCCTGTATGCCATCTTTCATGGCTCTGCAGTCTCACTTAAGCCATTGTTATTATTTGCCTGTGACTTCAGGCTGCAATATTTGAAATGAAACCGGATACGCTGCATTGAATTCGACTTGTTCAGTGATTTTTAATAAATAAATAAATAGGAGGAGTGAAAGGTAAAAGGGGAGAAGTGCCTCATTTGTGACCTCTCAGCTGTTCAGAAGCTATCATTGTCATCTGACAAATGATACCTGCCAAGGCTTATGTACAGCACAAAGATAATCTTTTTCAAATAGTTTGCTGTGTGATATGCTTGAAAGATATTTGAGGGGACAAGTTCTCTTCCTAGAAACATGCAGATACAAGTCTTGCCTTACTGACCTGGGGAGCTGTGTAAACATCTAACGGATGTGTAGCTCCCTCAGCAAAGAAGGGACAGTTTTCCTTTGCCTGTTACCTTACTTTGTGTCAACTTGCATTTTAACATGCTTTTAACTGTCTCCTGTTCCTTTGAGAGATTAATGCTTGTACCCTTTAGCACTCTTGAGGGGAAAAAAAAAAAGTAGTAAGTTGGATTAATTTTTCATTTTGTTGCTTACCTTTCAGCTTCTTGCCTGATTACATCAGTGGTGACTTTGATTCCATTCAGCCTGAAGTCAAGGAGTACTACAAGGCCAAGGTAAATTAATATCCCTTTGATGTGTTTGTGTGTTAGACCATTGTAAAATCCAACCCATTACTGCCTCCATTGGTTATTAGGTGTTTTTACAAGCCCCTTGGCTTCTTTGAGGCTTCAGGTGTAAGGTATCTTACGGGCTTAGATGTGGTGTCCTGCCTGGCATTGTAGCAATGCTTGAAGTCAATATGTGAGCTGCCTGACTGCTGAGTAAGATGTGGTTTCATAGCACCATCTCAAGAAAAAGAAGGTATGTGGCTGGAGATTATAGTAACAAGAAACGATGATAAAACTTCCTGAAAAATCTGAGACTTTTTGCTCTGTGAGATGCAGAACAATGAAGATTAACCTCCCAGGATTCACGTATGGCTAGCACCCAGAACAACTCCCAAGAACATTTCTCTCTGTGATTTTTGCATGATACAGCTTTACCTTTTTAGCAGGAAGCTGCAGATGGAAACATCTGTCTCTTTCATCACCCACCAAAGTATTGAATTATGTCCTCACTACTTCTGTGCTTCACTAGTGGAGTGCTCTCCTTAATGTGTTGTTTTTTTTGACAAATTTCTGTGTCCATTAATTTATTCTTAATGTAGCCAACATATTTCCCGTGAGCAACATAAACGTAGGTTCATGTTTCTTAGGTCTTAATGCTCATTGTTGGCTACGTTCCTACCATATTTTAAAGTTCTTTTTTTAGCTTACTGTTCTGCATTTGACAGTTCACCCGCCTGCCTGTATAGGCTTTTGTGCTGAGCACTGTGCTTTACCCTCATGCCTTGGACAGCAGGTTTCTGCAAATTCAGAGTTTGCCTCAGTGTGTCAGCTTACATTTGCAGCAGGCTGCACTTGGAAGAGCAGTAAGTATTTGATCCTCAGGAGATAGTAGACTTTGAGGTCTGTGATATATCTACTGGTGATTCAACGTGTGAGGCTCTAATTTGCCTAAAATCTCCCCTGGTGGACTTATGATCAAACAGAAAAAAAATGATTTCACACTGCGAGGGGAGGGCTATAGGAGTGTGTAGGACTTGATTCCAGTACCCCAGGGAGCACCATATTTTTTCCTATATTCTGCCTCATTTGTTAGAAGGCAGAAGTGTATGATGGCAGTCCACCTTGGGAGACCAGCACAAGAAAAATGTAAAGGAATCCTTGGGCTACAACTTGTGAAGTGAAAATAAAAAAGCTTCAGATTAATGCTGTTCATTGTAGAGTGGAAATTCATGATCTGTGAATAAATGGAGAAATTGCAAAATGCACTGCTCTGTTTGTCACAGACTGGTACGAAAGCTTATATCAACTGCATGTTGGTGAGTAGGTTAAAGCTACCAAAGAATGCAGGTTAAGGATTGCTCAACAGATAGAGTGAGAGAGAGGGGAGATGAAAGGGTATGAGAGAGAAGAATGCAGTCAGATATTGAAAGGGATAAGCTAAACTGAACTGGTATTACACTTTTTCATAGGGTCTACTTTTCTGGATGTTACATCCCAACTGTCAGCTCCATTGTAGTTGAGTCTTGATGTGCAGGATGTGCAGTTTGCATTTTGTCTATGAACCATTTTGTCTATGACCTCCAAGATCACCAAGTCCAACTTCTGATCTAACAAGTCCTCCACTGAACCCTATCACTAAGCTCTACATCTAAACATCTTTTAAAGACCTCCAGGGATGGTGACTCCACCACTTCCCTGGGCAGCCCATTCCAATGCCTAACAACCCTTTCGATAAAGTTCTTCCTAATATCCAACCTAAACCTTCCCTGGTGCAACTTTAACCCATTCCACCTCGTCCTGTTGCCAGGCACGTGGGAGAATAGACCAACCCCCACTTCTCTACAGCCTCCTTTAAGATACCTAGAGCGATAAGGTCACCCCTGAGCCTCCTCTTTTCCAGACCGAACAATCCCAGCTCCCTCAGCCGCTCCTCATAAGACTTGTTCTCCAGACCCCTCACCAGTTTTGTTGCCTTTCTCTGGACTCACTCAAGCACCTCCATGTCCTTCTTGTAGTGAGGGGCTCAAATATAACGAAATGTAGAATTAGGAGAGATGGGGAGATAGTTTTGTTTTTGTTTGTTTTTGTTTGTTTGTTTTCTTGTAGAGTATCTTGTCCAGTAAAAGCAGGTTTGGTAGTCCAGGCAGTTTCCAAAGCTCAGTTGTGTTGGTGACCCAGGAATAGGTGAGGTCTGCTTAAAACAGGCAGTGACATAACTTTGCATGATTAGCTCAGCATAATGTCATTCATTCCAGAGAAGTAAGTCCAGATGTGAGTTAGGGTTTCCTTCTGTGTTGTCCTTCCTCCCTTACTGAAGCACTCCCTGACTCACATGCAGATTTCACCAAGAGACGGAGCGAGATGATACCATTAGTTAGTATAACTATGTTGTTTCAAGCATTCTCTTATCAATTGTTCATGATTATGAATGGGAAGATGGGAGAAGTGTTGTAGCAAAGCTTAGACAAATATGATGTGGCAGCAGTTTTCAGTGGTCAACTGGATGAGACTCCACAGAATTCCTGCCTGTCAACCAGCTGATCAGTATTTCCCAGTACAAAATAAAGCCCTGTCTCTTGCTAGCTTTTTGATATTCATGCTCCATGGCTTCAACATTAGAATATTTCTACAGTCTTCCCTTTCCACAGGATTGCTTCCAAATACCCCTTCTCAAATTGAAAGCCAGAACCATTCTTAGCACATAGAATTACCTGAAAGCACACACATTCATCACAAAATATCACTCCAGTTTCATTTGCCCATGTTGTTACCAACAATTTCATGAGCCAGGTGTTTATGAAGTTGAGCATGTTACTTTTGGACAATAAAATATTTTATTTTTCTCTTGAAATGTGTGTCTGAGTAAGCTTCTTCAAGTAGTTAGGTCTTCACCAAATAACAACAATAATCTAATGGCACTGCTAATGCTTCTGCTCCCATTTTCTGCTCCCAGCCACCTTTCCTGTTCCACCAGGCAGCAGGCTGTCCTGCCTGTTCTTGATACACCTGTCTTGAGTTTTCCCTGTCAAATGCACCTGTCTTGAGCTGCTGCCAGACCAGGGTTATTAACAACTTTCACCATAGCTAGAGTGTTGGCTTCATCAAAATTCATGCTGTGACATAGATTTTCATCTCTTTGTGCCCCTGTTTTTTTTGCATATATACCTAGTGTAACTTATATTCAAATGTTACACGAAGGAAAAAGGTGGGAGGTAGGGCACACAGGGAAGGGAATACTCCTTAGCACAAGTATAACTGAACGATTCATTATGGCCAGCACAAATGAGCTTAGAGAGAGAGGGAGGAGCTCTCATGCTTGGAGCAGTTCATGGAGCGTATGCATGGAGTGAATATCAAGGAAAGTGAACCAAGCAGCAAGTACCGAGAGGTATTCGCCCTTTGCACTCCCATCTGCCTTTTAGTATGATGTGCAGTGAAAAGTCACACAAACTTTTCTGTCACTAAAGTCTGACTTGAATGCTGTAGATTCAACTGCCAGATGAAGGGCAGGTGGTGCTGAAAGTTCATTTGGTATTTCAATTGCAGTGGTTAAATTTATACCAGGAATGAAAATACTATTTTTTCTCTTTGTTTCTGAAGCTGAAAGTATGTTTCCCTTCATTTTATTGTAAAGATGCTGTATAGTTATGTTGAGTTTCACATACACAAAGGAGTGGCAGTAGCCATTTTTTTGTTGCTGTTGTTTGTTTTCATTTCTGTTTTTGTGTGTGTGTGGTTTTGTTTTTTTTAAACTATGCTTATCGACAGAAATTAATACATCATGACTTCTTCTATCACAGAATCTCCTGAGTTGTAAGGGACCCACAAAGATCATTGGGTCCAACTCCTGGCTCAACACAGGATCACCCAAGAAACAGGCCATGTGTCTGAGAGCGCTGTCCAAATGCTTCTTGAACTCCAGCAGGCTCGGTGCTCTGACCATTGCCTTGGGGAGCCTGTCCCAGTGCCCGACCATCCTCTGGGTGCAGCACCTTTCCCTAACCCCCAGCCTGACCCTCCTCTGTCCCAGCTCCATGCCGTTCCCTCGGGTCCTGTTGCTGTCCCCAGAGAGCAGAGCTCAGCGCCTGCCCCTATGCTCCCCTCATGAGGGAGCTGCAAACCGCCATGAGGCCTCCCCTCAGCCAACCTCCTCTGGGCTGAGCAAACCAAGGGACTGCTCTTCATATATCTTCCTGTCTATCTGGATATAACAAACCAATGTTTAAGAGATGTTACTTTTTCATATTAAAACTTATGGATGTTAATTATTGAGTTATATTCACTTACAAGTGGTTGTGTCAAAGACAGCCTCACATAGGAAAGGGGAGTATTAAATTCTGTGTGTGAAACTAATTATGGTTCTTTAAAGTAGATGTACATTTCTTTAAGCAGATGTATCACTGTGGTGAAGCAATTACAGGTCTGACTCCTCCATCACACCAGCTTCATGCCAGGATGCTGCTCCTAGACTCAGAGGTTCTCTACCTCATTTAAGTGATGAAAGCAAGAGCAGATATTTGGCATTACAGAAAACATGACATACAGATTACCGAAGCCAAAGGGTTTTACTGGAAGTGATATCTTCAAGCCAATTCCTCTGATGTTTTTAGTTGAGCAAGGATTACATGACAGTGTTTCTATTTTCCCTTAAGAAGGATTATCACCATTGTGTCAGGGAACCTCATTTAAATAAAGTCCATAAAATGGATTTATTTGCTTCACGTTCATCTCTGTTAGGTGTGGCATGTCGTAGTTAGTAAAGAGATCTGAAGGCAAAACTGCTGCTTTTTTTTTCAGTTATGTTGGAAAGTAATTGTATAATAGACTGTTACAAGTGGGATGTGTAAGTAATGATTTAGGCTCTTCATGCTTTTGGGAAAGAATGTGTCACAGGTTATTCAGCTTTACTTTTTATTCTCTGCAGCCTTTCTTTTGCATCATTAGCTTGTCAAGTGAGTATTAATAGTCTTTTACCCTTTACATTAAAAAATAAGTGATTATGTTTCCCATGTTTTAAAGAGTTAAATCATTAAAACTGGGTAAAACCACTCCTCAACTGGAAATGGAATATTGTGTTTAAATTCCTCTTTTTAAATCACAGTGCACTATAACTGAAGGATGAAAAACAACAATTTAATATTCTGTTTATTCTGTCAATGTTAAAACAGACATAGAGAAGTGTCTTTGTACTTCATGGATAAATATGTGTATTCATATGATCCTGTAATAGATGCATTGGCAGTCTTTTTACAGTCTGAAGCGCATGAGAAATGACACTGCACAAAGCAGAGAGGACGTGGTGATATTTCTGTCGCTGCAGTCTCATCTGCTTTAGCTGGATGTTTCTATTATTGAAACCTTTTAAGCATCACTTTGAAGATAAAACAGCCATTTGTATTGTTATGCCTCAAACAAGACTCAGTTTTTGAAGTTTTTGAGACCAAAGACATTATCTAAAATTATACTAAATCTGTACTGATGCCTAGAAACAGAAGGTTGAATGCAGTGCCCTTTGAAATCCAGATTATGCAGTTTAGTAAGAATCCAGTTCAGCTTTTCTACTAAGCAAACTATATATGCTTTAGAAGCACATAGACTTCTGTAGATGTAGTAGGCACTGCTTCAGATGTGTAATTAAATGCTGTCAATTTATTTACAATTCTGTTTTTTCCTATTCTCTTTTCTTTTTAAATCTCATAGAGCTGCTTATTTTTACAGGCTGTTCTGTAGCTGTAGCACTTTCCCTTTCCTTTTTCTATTACACTTTCAGGGTTAATGGTTATCAGGGTTGTAGAAATGCTTAATAGATATGTTGTGAACATTGCCTTTCTGTTTTACGATGATGCATCTATAATTAGATCAATGAAATGTGTTTGTGTGGCAGTGCTTGTACATCTCTCTAACTTCTACACTGTCTTGCTGAACTGCATGTAGTAGTGTCATATTCCTTGCTTGCTTTCTGAGGCTAAAATTTTTAATAATTTTGGAAAATCATAGTGTTAATTGATCTCTCTCAGGTATATATTTTAAATTCAAATGCATAAAAAAAAAATGATTTTTTCTGTGTCTATTTTAATTTATCTTTTATCCCTGCATTTTAAATGTTTTCTAAAAGTAAATTTTAATACAGGATGGAACTTTTAATATTGAGAAATTTGACTCAAAGCATTTTTGTTACATTGAACAGTTTTCTAAGAAATCATGTTTCATTTTAGAACCTGATTAATTTGTGAGAGGTTTTATACCTTCAGGAGAAGCTGTAAAAATTGTGCGGGTGGATCTGAAACAGTTCTGTCTTGCTGTTGAATGGGCTATGCCTATCTGACAATCACCACTTCAGCTTTCAAGCAATCCCTGCTTTTATATATCCTGTTGAAGACATCTCTGACATAATTATAAAAAGCCCTGATTATAAAAACTCATCATGGAGCTTCTAACATGTTGAGGGTATCCAATGCCACCTGGACTTTATTTCAAGCATCTCATGTTATGAACCTTAGTTCTAAGTTGCTGAAAAGCTCTTTTTGACGGTCTGGTCCCATAGGCTTTGCTCTGGTGAGTGAGACTAACAGACTGGTCTAGCAAAATAGGTCCTGTCACACACACATACACGATCTTCTGAATGGTTTTCCACTTTTAGTTGCAGTGCTACAGGCACTGTGGTTGCTGGTGGGGAAGTGTTCTTGCTGCACTCCCCTATCTCCAGTTTAACTGTATAGATGCAGCACTCCTGCTAACTGCAGTTATTCCTCGTAATTCTGTCCTCTCGCTTCCTGAGGAACCTCATATCCCATCCCACTTCTTATCTCCAACATGCAGTGAAGAAACCAGCGTTTAGAGAGTTTGCACAATGTGGAGTTTTCCCTCAAAAACAGTTCTGTGTTACCGTATGGTCAGGAGAAAGGCAGTAGAAAAGCCTCAGTTGGCACATGAGAAAATTACAGTTCCCTTCCATCATAGCCTTGTCACCTGCATGACAGCACTTTCCAAACCACAGGCACAAGCTCTTCCACAATTTATTTGAGAGTTATTAACTTCTAAGCTTTTAGAAGGAATTAGCTACCTGTCAGCTCACTGAAACACAGCTGCCAGCTAACTCCAACAATGACAAAACACACCTAGCTTACTGAAAAATGAGTGGTCTGTATAGCCAAGTTATATGTTGTATTTTTTATTTTTTCTAATGTTCTTCTGATATTAATTGAAAGAGACTCAGTGTCTTAATTTAGATACAGGTTCATCAGGTTAAAAAGATTTATAGGGCTGTGATGATCCTATTATTAATAGTTCAGATTGTATATGGGGTTTAGGATTTTGGACTAGACATTTTCTGTATGTCTTTGTCATGTAATTATTCAGCAGAGCTATCATAAAATGGTCTCCTTCTTGAATAATATTTCAGAGGTCTTGTCAAGATCGCATTTTCAAGCGAGTTGTGTGGGTGATTTGGGTTATGTGGATTTTTTATGCATGCCAAACGAAAGTAATATCATAATGTTACAGAAATGTCATAAATTTGTAGGAGATGCTGAGCTCAGTGGCACTTCGTAAAGGTGAACATGACAGACTGTCACACTAGGTGAGACCAGAGGGTCATTCACCAGCGTCTGGTCTTGGCTGTGCCAGTATGGGATACTTTTGAAAACATATCTGCACAGTGATGCTGCTTTGATACACTTTTTCACCTTCCAGTAATATATGGCTCAAAGATTTCCTAAGTCAGAGAGGCATCTTAGTACTTAATAGCTTCATAATGTTTGCCTTCCAAATTACACACTTTTCTTCAAACTGAGAAGACTGAAAGAATCCATAAAAAGTTGTGGCAATGCGTTTGCCAGTTTAAGTGTATATAGACAACGTCACCTAGATTTATTTTTTGGTTTTGAGTTTGACTTTTGTTAGTCAAGTTTGATTCTGCTTTTTTTTTTATATATATTATGGTAAAGAACAGATGAACATGTTTTAACCACCTTTTTCTCTCCTGTTCTGTTGGTATTTGTGTGATTGTGCTGAGTGTTCCTGTAGGTATGTAGGTGTGTGTGCACAGCTAAACCACTGTGGCATTACATAGACTGGCCGGAAATTTTGTTCAGCTTGTTTTCTGTCCTGCTGAGCTAATACAAGTACAGTTACATGCTGGCAAGTCCTGTTGAAATGGATCTTCTGTAAAGCAAAGGATTTCAGGACTCAATGCTTGCGTTGTGCTGTTCGTGCATGCTGGGTAAAAACAAAACCAAGAAAAATCTTTGTTCAATTCTTAATTTCAATTTTTACAATTCCACCAAGATAGCAGTTTACAGAAAATAATACACCTGTTTAAATACAAATGAGATTTGTGAAAGAAATTCAGTGTTACAGTCTTGCATGTTTTTTAATAAAGTGTGTTCTTTGTGTTAGCACCTAGTTTTGTATATAAACCCTTTTGGACCTGAATAAACAGTTAAATTCTACTTGTTTTGTAAGGTCAAATTAATACTGCTGAGATTCAGCTATTTAGGAGGTCATGAGAGCCACTGTGTATTTGTAGTAGGACCTGAGTTAGATCTTAATTTATCCAGTATGACTGAGAATGCAGTGTGACCAAATTCTCTCTCTCCCTCTCTCTCTCTTTTTTTTTTTTTCTTTTTAAGTGCTACAGAGTTAGCTTGTGTGTCTTTTGCTTCAGAGCTAAATACCAGTTTGCAAGATACAAGTTGTTTTCTTTGTTCTCACAAGTGCTGTAGCTGAAGCTCAAGTGCCTGACAGTAGAATACATAAGAAAACAATGCATCGTGTAACAAAAATGATGCTGGTGGTATTTTAGTCTTGCATCCAATTTCATTTTCATACTGTGTTGCAGTATGAGATTTATTTCTTCTTCATATTGGCTAAGGCCTGAGGAGGGGAAAAGATAGAACCTATATTGCATTAGACATTTGAGTTACTTCCAAGAATCTTAAAAACATTAATCAGGTGTTAATCTCTGAAAGAGCTCATTACTCTTATCTGTCAGTCTGTGATGGAGAAAATAAGAGAAAAGATAAAAAACAACCAAAAAAAGTATTGAATTAACTTTATTTCCTGTGCATAGAAAAAAAAAAAAAAAAAGGTGTTTTAAACAATGACAGCTTGATCTGGAGAAGGAAATTGAACAGAGCTATTTTGTTATTAAGCCTCTTCAGACAAAAGAGACAGCTTTAATGTGGTATTAGCAGTTGAGAACTCAGATGATAGGCCTTTTTAGATGTAAGTAGGATTTTAACATCCATTTTTTTCTTTCTAGAGGGTTTAAGATTAAATTGTTCCTGGAGTGCAAAGCTCAGTGCCCCATGCCTGTGGACTGCTAATTAGAACAGCTTCCAAAAATGGTGCAGAACCAAGAACCTTGCAGCTCATCAAATGTTGCTGCAAACTCCAAGTTCAGCCCAAATGCTCCGTGGGATTTGTAAGCTTGATTCTGTTGCAGGGGAGCCCATTACCTGGCAAAAGCACAGCAACACATATGTGTTCATTAGCCAAGGAAAGGATTCCCAAAATCCTGGTGCCACAATTCTTAAGCATTTTAAGAAGCTTGGCATCCTCTGCAAATGTTTCTATTGTGCATCTTGTCAAAGAACAGGTACCTCTCATTTCAGAAGGTGAGGAGTGAGAGAACATAAAGTCTGTTGCTTATTTTGAAGTAGGAAGGTTTGCTGGTAGGCTGGAGAAAAGGATGAGAAGGATATCTTCTAGTGTGATTTTAGGGACCTGTAGCAAGCATTTTGGTGAGTGCACTCCCCTGCTTTAAAAGAGATGCGTAGACTATGCAGAGTCATTCTCCCTAGCCCCCAAAATCAAGAGAGAGATTTGCCAAGGTTGCCATAAACCTCTCTTCTTCATCTTTGACACAGCCTTGAACATAAAAAGGCACAATAGATTGGGAGACATGGTTCAGGGCTGCTAGTTATTTACCATAAATTGCCCTCATGGTGCT